TGCCGAAACCATTAACCCCGCCGCCGCGGGGCCCCCGCGGCACCGCCTCCCCCCGCTCCCCTCGGGCGGCCATTTTGTCACCGGAGCGCCCCGCGCCGCGGGCGGTGACGGGAAAAGCCAGTGCCGGCCGCGAGGCACGCCGGGAAAGCAGGCCAAGCCGCAGGCGCGCGAGGCACGCTGGGAAAGCCGTCGGCGCTTCTTGTTGCTAGGCATCGGGCACCGCAAGGGGCGCCGGGAGGGAAAGAACCAGGAGATGGGTGGGCGCCGGCACCAATTGGAACGCGACTGGCAGCGTGCCGGCCAATCCGCTGCCAGCCAGCTCGCCTCGCCCGCCTCCCCGCTCCCAACAGAATAAGGCGGGGCCGACTGACAGTTCTGAAGATCGCCCAATCTTGCCAGCCAAGGGGTGGGGTTTGACGGGGCCAATTCGCGTAGGCGGGTTTGTGAGGGAGCCAATCTAGTGAGAAGCAGGGCGGGACGGAGTGTACCACCCCTCTCCAGGCCGCGGGGGCAGCATTGAGCTGCTGTCGCGGCATCATAACAGCGGGAAATTCAATGCTGGGCTGTGGCGGGGGTAAAACTGCGGCGCTCTCTCAGCTGCGAGGAACCATGTGGTTTGTTTGTTTTCTCTTATTTCCCCCCCTTGTCGAATGGTCCCAGCGTGGGTCACGTGCAGCCGTTCCAAGATGGCGGCGGCGGGGTCCGGGTCCGGCTGGGGGCCGGAGGCGGACGAGTTCGAGGACGCTCCCGATGTGGAGCCACTGGAGCCGACGTTGAGCAACATCATCGAGCAGCGGAGTCTCAAGTGGATCTTCGTGGGGGGGAAGGGGGGCGTGGGCAAGACCACCTGCAGGTGAGGCGAAGGGAGGGGCTTTTAATGTGGGATGTACTACTGTGGGTAGAAGGGGGGAGGTGGGGCTCTACCATTGCCGCGTGGGGTGGTTGAGTCCTTCTGGTGTGCAGAGAGGGGTTGGGAGGAACCATTACAACGGGATGAGGGGGTAGGTACCATCGCTGTAGAGGGGGTGTGGTAGCAGGGGCCTGGTTGGGATATACCATGAGAGCCTATAGGGGGCGTCTTGGGGGAGGGGTAGGTTGTAGGTAAGGCAGGGGTTGGGATGTACCACTGCACGGGCAACTGGTCTACCTGAGGGCATGGGGTGTACCATTGTGCTAGGAATGGGGGGGGTATGATTGTGTGGGGTGCCAGGAAGGGAGTGGTCTTGGTGAGGGCATGGGGTGTACCACTGTATCATTGTGCCAGGTAGGGGGTCTACTTGGGCTGTACCACTGTACCACAGTGGACAACTAGAGGAATAGACCCCTTGCAGGGGAGCTGGGATCTACCATTGCATTTCTGTGTCGGGGGCATGAGCCCTATGCTGAAAGCAGTACAGTCCCCAGGGACCCTCCAAGAAAGCTCCCCATGGGTTCCTGTAGCTGCTGCTTGCTCTGCTGACCCCCAGGTCCCCTCCCTTCCCCCACCAGTTGCAGTCTGGCTGTGCAGCTGTCCAAAGTGCGGGAGAGCGTCCTCATCATCTCCACTGACCCAGCCCACAACATCTCCGATGCCTTTGACCAGAAGTTCTCCAAGGTGCCCACCAAGGTCAAGGGCTATGATAACCTCTTTGCCATGGTAAGTGCAGGGTTGGGCTCCATTCGGCACTCCACGAGGCTGCAGCAAGGGACCCAGGTGTCCCGCTCCAACCACTGCTTCCATGTCATGCATAGGACTGACCACATCTGCCTCAGCTCACCCCCTTCCACAGCCAAATGCTACTCTGACCACTATCCCCCTTTCCCATCTTGGAGCAGGGACCAGGGGCTGTCCTGGCCCTGCTCTGACACCTGGGTCAGCCTCTGAGTCCCCTCCTCTTATCTGTCCCCTCCTTGCAGGAGATTGACCCCAGCCTGGGGGTGGCAGAGCTCCCAGACGAGTTCTTCGAGGAGGACAACATGCTGAGCATGGGCAAGAAAATGATGCAGGAGGCCATGAGCGCCTTCCCGGGTATCGATGAGGCCATGAGCTATGCAGAGGTGATGAGGTGAGCCAGGGTCACCAGCCCCAGGGGCTGATGGAAGGGACTTTTATACGGGAGGTCCCATGACTGTAGTGGGGGTGAGCAAGGTAGGCTTTTGACTGGAGATGTGGGATGAGGTTGTATCACTTGGGTAGAGAGGGGGTAGTATGGAGGTACCACTATGAGGGAGAGTGGTATTATAGGCTATAGCAAAAAGGGGTCTCTGGGTTGTACCACTGTTGCCACTTGTTGGTGGGATGCTGGTTTGGACCATTAGGAAAAGAACACCGGGGGACGGTTATACTAGTTCAACAGTAAGGGGCTGCTCTGGGATGTACCATTTCTGCCCGGGGGGGGCATTGCTGGGTGGGGTCCCCCCACCCCTCTAACCCCTTGTCTGCCCTGGCGCAGGCTGGTGAAGGGGATGAATTTCTCCGTAGTGGTGTTCGACACGGCGCCCACGGGGCACACGCTGCGGCTGCTCAACTTCCCCACCATTGTGGAGCGGGGACTGGGCCGCCTCATGCAGATCAAGAACCAGATTAGCCCTTTCATCTCCCAGGTCAGGAGGACCAAGGTTGGGGTCACTCATACCCCGCCTCCCACAGCACCTTTGCTCTGTTCTCAGATTTGAGATCCGCCCCTTGCCCACCCGCCCCCATGCATGCAGCAATTAGCGATTGAACCCTTCTCAGCCATCCTAAGGAGCCTTGGCCTCTGGGGCGGGGCTGGGCTGGGCTGGGCTGGGCCGTGGGTGCCCCCATTTTACACCACACCCCCTCTTCCTTTTCCTCCCATAGATGTGTAACATGCTGGGCCTGGGTGACATGAATGCAGACCAGCTGGCCTCTAAGCTGGAGGAGACGCTGCCTGTCATCCGGTCTGTGAGTGAGCAGTTCAAGGACCCAGTAAGTGGCTCCTGGGTTGGGCACATCCACCTGTGAGACCCACAGGGCTTTGGTTCCTTCTGGTAGGCAGAGGCTGTTGTTACCTTTAACAGTCCATTGTGGCCGTGGGGAATGGGTCTTTCCTCCTGCCCCGCCAGTCTAGCCACATTCCTTGGGAGGCAGCAACCATAGAACTGGCCACTGCTTGGATCTACATGGGACAGCCTGGGGGAGGGCCTCTTGTGCGTTCCTGATCCAGCATCTGTGCTGTGGGGCAGAATTTCATTCTCCCTGCCTCCACAACTGTGAGGGAGAAGCCCAAATTGCCCCATTTTTACAATGATGGGGAGCAGGGGTAATGGTCAGCCTGGTGTTGAGGTGGGGCTGGGAGGCAATGACATGCCCCAGGGCTGGGAGTATGGAGCACAGGGTGATAGTGGCCTAGTGCTGAAGGAGAGCAGGGGAGCAATGGCAAGCCTGGTGCTCTGATGGTGCTGGGGGTAAGAGTGTGAGGACATGGGATCCTGGGTTTTTTTTCTGCTTAAAAATTGCAAATACTCTGATTTAAAAACAAAACAAAACAACCCCAAATCTGTGATTTAAAATAAAATGCCACTATCCCAGCAGCAGCAAAGGGTACAGCTCCATGCCACTACCCCTGCTGCTGCCAGTAGGCAGGGTGTGCTTCACCAGGGCAGTGTGTGGGGCTCACGGTAGCAAGGACCTTCCCTGCCTGGCCCCACTTTGCCCTACTGTGCCAGTCTCACCTGCTGGGCTGTGGAGGGCAGCAGGACAGGGAGGTCCAAATTTGCAGCAGGCAGCCTGCACCCATCCTATGCACAAATCTGGGGGGCACCTTCCCCCCTCCCCAGGAGTGTGCGCAGCATTGGGATGCCTATGTCCCCATCCTGCTCCCTGTGTCAGCCCTGTAGTCGTACATTCCAACCCCAGGCCTCAAGCACCACACACCGCCTAGGCTGGGCAGCAGCCTCTGCCCTGCCCACTCTCTCCCTCCCTCACTATGGGGGCCTCAATTTCCCCCACCCGAACACCTGACTTATCTGTGGGCTTTGGCAATGCATAGAGGGTGCACGCGATTTGAGAGACTGGCCGCTGCCGCTGCTGGCATCTGCAGGCAGTCACCAATTGCCACTCGGTGCTTGCTACCCCTCCCCCTCGCCACCAACACTGCTGTGGCCACCTGCAGGTGGTCCCCTTTTTGCCACCGCCTCCTGCAGGCAGTCACTGTGCGCCCCCCCCCAGCTGCAGGAGGCACAAGGCATTCATGCCTGTGGGAGCTCCTGGCAGAGGGGGGGGGGGTGTACACATGCGCATGGCCCCCCTGCCTGACTGCCCTCCTCCTGCTCCCCCCAGCCCCTTGCAGGCTGGAACTCTGCCCACCTACAGAGAGCTCTTTGTAAAGGTAGAAAATCTGTGTTTCTCTATTAAAATGAAAAATCCACATTGTTCTTGGTCAGAAGGGGAAATCCACTCTTTTCTCTTCCCCCCCCCCCCCTGCTTTTCCATGGGAAATAAAATCTGGATCCCTGGTGAGGACATAACTCAGTGCTGTGGGGGCAGGCCCAGTGCTGGGAGGGGCAGCATGTGCTGGCAGGAGCTAGGGGAGTGATGATGGGCCTGGTACTTTTGTGGGGACCAAGGGAGTGATTAGGGGCTCGGTGCTGGTGAAGGCAGGGGTAGGGCTGTGCTCGATGCTGGGGTGGGGCAGGGGGCAACCCCACACTTCCCCCACCACCACCACCAACCCACAGGAGCAGACGACTTTCATCTGCGTGTGCATCGCGGAGTTCCTCTCGCTCTATGAGACAGAGCGGCTCATCCAGGAGCTGGCCAAGTGCCGCATCGACACCCACAACATCGTTGTCAACCAGCTCGTCTTCCCTGCACCTGACAAGCCCTGCAAGATGTGTGAGGCGCGCCACAAGATCCAGTCCAAGTACCTTGACCAGGTGGGCTCTGCCCCCAGGGACCCTGCTCCTGCATGACTCTGCTTCCCCCCTTCCCAAGCCCTCGGGTTGACCCCCTGCCTGAGCAATGGTGCATTCCAAGCCCTGCTCCCATCATTTGCAGGGAGTTGGACCCTGCTTCCCAGCTTCATTCAGGCCCAACTTCAAGGTGCTCCAGTTAACGTGGCTGGGTGGGGGGACAACACATCTGGGTTCCATTCTCAGCCTCTGTGGGGAAGAAGACAGGCTTTCGGGACACCTGGGTTCCACATCTGGCTTGTGTCAAGCCGATAAGAGCAGGGGGAGCTGGGTTCCCAGACACCTGGGTTCCATGCCTGGCTTAAAGGTTGGTGGAACAGAATCTAATGGGGGTGGGGAGCATGGACACCTGATTTCCTAATCGCTATTCCAGGAGAGGAGGGGACCAGTACAGCTAGGGAGTTGGGGGCTGGCAGTTAGGACCCCTAGGTTCCACACCTGGCTCAAGAAGAAGGCTTATAGGCTGGGGCTCTTGGATGCCTGGGTCCTCTCTTAGCTCCCCTGTGCACCCCCCAATCTCTCACAGATGGAGGACTTGTATGAGGATTTCCACATTGTGAAGCTGCCGCTGCTGCCGCATGAGGTACGAGGGGCCGACAAGGTCAACACCTTCTCCACTCTGCTGCTTGAGCCCTACAAGCCCCCCAGCACCAAGTGAGCCTGGTCCCCCCTCCCCCCCCAGCACAGGGGGGGGGGGGACCTAGCTGTGGCCCCACCCCCTTCTGTGGGGGGGTCAGGGCCCCCTTGAGCACCTCCCACCCCTGGAGCCACAGCAGGAGAAAACTGTACATAATAATAAAGCTGACAAGGAAGACAAGGCTGCTGGTGTGTGTGGGATTGCTTTGGGGGTGGGCAGGAGGCAGCATGATTAACTGGATAAACCAAGGATTAAAGCCCAGCTGGATCCAGCACCAAGGGAAGCAGGATCAGGGCTCAGGCACTAGGGGGACCAGATCTAGCAGTACCAGCTGGCAGCGTCTCCCCCCTGTCCCCTTTCTACCACAGAGCACCCTGTGCTGGGTAGAACTGGGCCTCAGCACTGGCAGGGAGGGGTGGGGCCTAGATGCCTGGCTTCTGTCCCCAGCTCGGAGGGGAGTGGGGGCTAGGGGATGAGAAGTGGGGTGCTGGAAGCCCAGATGCCTTGGTTCTGTCCACAGCTCTGGGAGTGGGACTGGTGGTTTAGAGCAGAGGAGGGTGGGAGCCGGGATACCTGGGTTCTTTCCAGCTCTAGGAAAGTATTGGGGGTTAGAGCTGGGGTCTGGGATGCCTGGATTCTCTCTGCTGTAGGAATTTGGGCACCTGGGGTCCCAGTTCCTGCCTTGCCAAAGGCAGTGACCGCATGGTTGCGGGGGGGAGAGGGGGAGGCTGTGTTTGCCTTTGGGCTTGGCCCACAGGGGGACCGTCTGGGAGCAGCTCATTAGTGTGGGGCCAGCACAGCCAAGTGGGCTTGGTGCCAGGTGGCCTGTGGGCACCTGCCATGCTTAAAGGGACAGTGCCCATGCATACACCTGCTGGCCTAGCCCAGGAGAGGCTTGGGGGTCTAATGGGAGCAGGGGAGAGGGTGCCTGGTTCTCTCTAGCTCTGGGAGGGGAGTCAGGGCTGGGGGGTTAGAGCAGGTGGGGCCTAGGAGCCCCCAAGCCTGGCTTCTCCCTGCTCCGGGAGGGGAGTGGGGGCTGGTCAGGTGGGACCATTAAGCAGAGATAGGAGCCTGGATTTCTGCCTTGTACCCCAGCCGGGGGAAGGTGCTGAGGTCTGGTGGGTTGGAAGGGGAGGTTGTGGGCTAGGATGCCTGGGTTCCTTTCTGGTTCTGGACTTACCAGGCTGGGTTCTCTCCCTGCAAACAGCTGCAGGCCCCCAACTCCTCCCACACAACTGTAGACCCAGCCTGAGCTGGAGGAGAGGACCCCTAGTGGGGGGGGGGGTTTCCATGGCCCCAGCTGAACCTAGATGCCAGGGATTGCTGTTCCCATGGCAACCTCATCTCTCTGCCTTGCAGCAAGGACAGGACCCAGGTGCACTGGCACCTGGCCACCCTGGATCCCACTCTGCCTCCCCTCTCCCCGCACTGTGAGGGAACCCAGGCATCCAGACTCCCAGGCCCTCTGCTTTCACTTTCCCACCCCCTATTCCCTCCTAGAGAATCCAGGAGTCTGGGCACCCAGCCTCCACCGCTCCAACCCACCAGACCCAACTTCTCTCCCAGAGCTGGAGAAAACCCAGGTGTTCGGGTTCTCTTCTCTAACCCTTGTGCATCCCCCTCATGGCTGGAGACCCCTGGCTCCCAGGTCAGCCAGAGAACCTAGCTGCCGGGCCCCACCCTGCTGCTATCTCAGTCTTGGTGGGTCTTTAGCATCATAAAGGTGCGGGCTGGGCCCTGGGCTGGGGCCTTTGCCTGGTATGTGTTTGGGACGTCCCCCCTTCCCCCTCCCCACCACAGCCCACGTGAGAGAGGGACTGTGAGAGAACCCAGGCTGCCGCCCCTCCCTGCCACACAGCCCCAGCCCTGCCCAGGGCTATTTAAGCAGCCGCTGGGCTCCTTCCACCTCCAGCCTCTCCACAACCATCCCAGACCTGTCAGGTGAGTGGTGGGTCTGCCCAGGCTTGGAGGTGGGGGCACCTTTTGCACCTGCCCTGGGGCAAGGCGGGTAGGGCTGGAGCTCCCCAATTCTATCCCACTCCCTTCAGCTCCCAGGCACTGGGGCAAAACCTTGACACAGCCCCCAGACAGGGTCCCTGAGCCCCTCCACAGTCCCCCAGATCCCCTATACTGCCTCTACCCCCCCCCACTAGATCCACTACTGCCCCTAAGGATAGCCCTAGATACCCTACTTCATAGATTTAATAGATTATAGGGGTCAGAAGGGACCTTAGTAGATCATTGAGTCTGATCCCCTGCCCTGGGCAGGAGAGTGCTGGGGTCAGATGACCCCAGCCAGGTGTTTGTCCAGTCTCCTCTTAAAGACCCCTAAAGGAGGGGAGAGCACCACTTCCCTTGGAAGCCCCTTCCAAATTCTGGTAACCCTTACCATGAAGAAGTTCTTCCTGATGTCTAATTTAAATCTGTTCTCTCAGGTTGTGGCCATTGTTTCTAGTTACTCCAAGGGGTGCCCTGATAAACAGAGTATCCCTTGCTGCACCCCCCCACCCTCCCAAATGAATTGGTAGATGGCCACCAGATCCTCTCTCAGACTTCTCTTACAGAGGCTGAAGGGATCCAGGTCCCTCAATCTCTCCTCATAGGACCTTACCTGCAGGCTTTTAACCATATGAGTGGCCCTCCTCTGGAACTTCTCAAGGTTATCCACATCCCTCTTGAAGTACTGCACCCCTAGATCCACCACTGCACCCCCTAAGGGCCCCCCCACACACACACACACACACTGTGTCTGGGGCCTGGGTCAGGCCTGACTTGAGGGGTAATTGCTGGGGTGGGGAAGCTGGACATTGAGTGGGGCAGGGGAGTGAGGCCCCTCCTGCAAAACTATAGCATGGGAAGTGGCTGTTGCCTCCCCACCTCCACGCACACAGGGGTGCCATGATGGGCATATCCCAGTAGGGGGTGGGCCAGGCCTAGCACAATCCCACCCCCTTGCCCCCAAACCCTGCCCCCCATACAAAGGGTGTTACGGGGCAGGGACGCAACCCAGAAGAGGGCGTTGTTGGAGGGAACAGGGCCAGAGGGGTAGGTGCCAGGGCAGATCCCATCCCCATGTGCCACTAGGGTTTCCCCCCAACCATGCCAGTGACATTGCCCATACACTATGGGAGGGGAACCAGTCCCAGGGGACAATGGGGTGAGGGGACAGGTATAAGGCTGCTGACTCCCACAGCTCCGCCACCTTGCCCCCAGGCCCTGCCCCCCACATCCAGTAGGTCCAATGGCCAGGTAGGGAGTTAGGCCCCACCCTTACTCCTGCCCCCACCCAACAGCGCCCCTTTTGCCTGCAGGTCCCACCCCCAGCCATGACAGTGACCTACACAGCCCGTGTGGCCAATGCCCGCTTCTGCGGCTTCTACCAGCTGCTGGGGCTGTGGCGCGGCAGCATCTACAAGCTGCTCTACCGCGAGTTCCTCATCTTCCTCATCGCCTACCTGGGCCTCAGCCTTACCTATCGGTGAGTCCCCTCCCCACCCTCCCTCGCATGTGCGGGTGAGCACACACTGGGCCCCAGCCTGAGGAGGGGTAAGAAACCCACCTTGTACCAGGGATATGTGGCTTTTGCGCACACATCAAGCTTACATGTGAGGAGGGGTGGGTATCTCTCCTCACAGAGGGATCTGGACCCCTTTGCACACGTGTGCATGCGCATGCCAGGCCTATTTGTGAGTAGGGGCATGAAATCCCTTGCATAGAAATCGGTGGCCATCTGCATACGTGTGCAGACACCAGGGCCATGCAGGAGGAGGGTTGGGTGTCCCCCCTTGCATGGAAAACTGTCCCTTTGCACATGTGTGTGTACACCAGGCCTATTTTTTGAGTAGGGGCATGTAACCCCTTGCTCAGATACCTGTGGCCCTTTTGCACGTGTGTGCACATGCTAGGCCTGAGCACAAGTAGAGGTGCGAAGACCCCTGCACATACCTGTGACTCTTTGCATGCATATGCACATGCTTGACCTGTTGCACAAGTACACATGACTCTTCGTGCACATACCCCAACCCTATGCATGAAGGCATGCAGGCTCTTTGCACCCCCATCCATGAATGCCTGCGCTCGCGTGACTCCAAGCAAGCACTTGTACACACGCGAGTGTCCTGACTATCATGCAGGGATGCATGCGCTCTGCATGACCCCCACTGGGAGCAGGCTCGAGTCCTGTGCAAGAGCATCAGCCCCAGCTCTTTGAACAGCCTTGCACAAGTGCTTCTTCCTTTGCATATCTGCTCCCAGCTTCGTCTTGGCCGAGGATCAGAAACGCTCCTTTGAAAAGCTGGTGATTTACTGTGACCAGTACGCCAACCTCATTCCTGTCTCCTTCGTGCTGGGTGAGACTCCTGCCCCCACAACCCTGGGTCCCTATAAGACACAGCCCTGGTACCCTACTTCAGAGGCAGCCCAGTGCTGGGTGCCAACATGCTGCCAACATGCCCCACCCCAGAACTAGCTGCATCTCCAGACAGGGTGACAGTTCTGTCCATTCCAGTGCCACACCCCAGAGATGGCTGCATCTTTACCAGGTGAAAGAACCTTGTATGTGCAACTCCCAGTGTGCCCCACCCCAGAGCCAGCTGCAGCTCCACACTGGGTGACAGGTCCCTGTTATACCCAGCCTCTAATGCCCCAGCTCAGAGCCAGCTGCATCTCAGTGCCAGGTGAAAGGCCCCTGTATAACCAGCCCCAATGCCCCACCCCACAGGTGGCTGCATCTGTTATACCCAGCCCCTGATGACCCACCCCAGAGCCAACTGCCTCTCCCCCACTCCCTAGGGTTCTATGTGACGCTGGTGGTGACAAGGTGGTGGAGCCAGTACACAAGCCTGCCAATGCCCGACCGGCTGATGTGTGCCATCGCAGGCAGTGTGCATGGGCGTGATGAACGGGGCCGGTTGCTACGCCGCACACTTATGCGCTATGGCAGTCTGGCAGGTGTGCTCATCCTGCGCTCCGTCAGCACCGCTGTCTTCAAGCGCTTCCCCACCATGGACCACGTCGTTGAGGCCGGTACGATCCTGTGCCACCCCCCAGAGCCAGCTATACTGGGGAGTCCTGGTATACCCAGGTCCTGCTGCCTGCCCCAGAGCCAGTCACATCATATGCTTCTGTTATACTCAGCCCCTGGTGTGCTTCCCTCAGAGCTAGCTGCATCAATGAGCTCATGTTATATCCAGCTCCTGGCACCGTCCCCGCTAGCCAGCTGCAGAAAGGATCCCTGTTATACCTGGCTCCTGGCATGCCCCCCACCACCCCTGAGCCAGCCATATCAGGGAGCCTGTTATACCCAGCCACTAGCACCCCCACAAAGCTAGCTGCATTACGGAGTCCTTCGTATACCCAGCTCCTGGTGCTTCCTCAGAGCCAGCTGCATTGCAGAATCCTTGGTATACCCAGCCCCCAGTGCCTCACCCCAGAGTCAGCTGCATTGGGGTTCCCTGTTATTTCTAGCCCTGACCTGCCCCCCTTGCCCCACCCAGGACCAGCCACATCAGGGGGACGAGTTTCATAGCTGGTAGGGGTGGAAGGGACCTGAGCAAATCAAGTCCGAGACCCTGCCATGGGCAGGAAAGGATGCTGGGGTCAAACGACCCCAGGAAGATGTCTATCTAGCCTCCTTTTGAAGACCCCCCAGGGTAGGAGCAAGCACCATTTCCCTTGGAAGTTGGTTCCAGATCCTAGTCACCCTGACTGTGAAGTAGTGCCTCCTGATGTCTAGCCTGAATCTACTCTCCTTCAACTTATGGCCATTATTCCTGGTTACTCCTGGTAGTGCTCAGGGGAACAGGGACTCTCCCATTGCCTGCTGGTCTCCCTTGGCCAGTTTATAGACAGCCACCAGATCCCCACTCAGCCTTCTCTTGTGGAGGATGAACAGGTTCAGGTCTTACAGCCTCTCCTCGTAGGGCCTGCTCTGCTGCCCCCTGATCATGCAAGTGGCTCTCCTCTGGACCCTATTGATGCTTCAGGGGGGATGTCCCCCCCGCACTTCAGGGGGGATGTCCACATCCCCCCTGAAGTGCGGCGCCCAGAACTGGACGCAGTACTCCAACTGCGGCCTGACCAGTGTCGCATAGAGGGGGAGGATCATCTCCTTCGACCTGCTTGTGATGCATCTGTGGATGTATGATAAGGTGCAGTTAGCCTTCCTGACTGCGTCCCCACATTGGCGGCCCATGTTCATCTTGGAGTCTATAATGAATCCAATATCCTTTTCTGCCTCTGTGCTGATGAGAAGGGAGTTCCCCAGCCTGTAGGTATGCTGTTGGTTCTTTCTCCCTAGGTGCAGTAAGTACCCTGCACTTGTCAGTATTGAATCCCATCTTATTCTCATCCACCCACCCCTGTAACCTGACCCACTATCCCCAGCCCCATTTGCCCCCTTCCCCAAAGCCAGCCATATCAGCCCACTGCTCTCCCACAGGCTTCATGACGCGAGAGGAGCGGAAGAAGTTCGAGGGGCTGCACTCACCCTACAACAAGTACTGGGTGCCCTGTCTGTGGTTCACCAGCCTGGTGGCCCAGGCCCGGCGCGAGGGTCGTGTGCATGATGACTGTGCCCTCAAGCTGCTCATGGAGGTGCGCTAGCAGGGCTGGAAGGCCACCTGGTGGGGGGGGTGCATGTCCCAGGCCCTAACACTCCCCCTCACGCACCCCACCCAAGGCTGGCGGTATCTTGCACTCCCTGCAGCCCAGCCATGGACATGTTCCATCTCAGAGCCAGCTGCATGGTGGGGACAGCCTGGGGGACAGGGGAGTTGGGAGGAACTTTGGAGGGAGAGCTTGTGCTCAGCAGTTGGGTGCACGGGACCTGAATTTGCCAGGTCTCGGCTCTGCTTCTACCAGGCTCGCATTCCCTCCCTCCCCACCTCCAGGGGGCTGCCCCAGCTGTTGGGGGGCAGGGCTGAAGGATAGCAGAGCTGCCCCCCCACATAGCTAATGGCCCCCAGAGGGTTAATACTCCCACTGTGTTTCCCAGGAGCTGAACACATTTCGGGGCAACTGCAGCATGCTCTTTCACTATGACTGGATCAGCGTGCCCCTTGTCTACACTCAGGTCAGCCTCCCCACCAGCCCAGGGCAGCTGCCCCCCTCCCCAGGGCAGATGCTACCCACAAGTGGCCCTTGTCTGAGCATCATGGGAAAGCCCCGGGGGGGGGGGACCCCACACTCTTTGCCTTCTGACACTTGCTCCCACCTGCCAGGTAGTGACCATTGCTGTGTACAGCTTCTTTGTGGCCTGTCTGATTGGGCGCCAGTTCCTGGACCCATCTCAGGGCTACACAGGGCACGAACTAGACCTGGGGCTGCCCATCTTCACCCTGCTGCAGTTCTTCTTCTACGTTGGCTGGCTCAAGGTCTAGGGGGACCAGGGCTGGGGGCGTGGGCCAGGGTCAATGTCCCTCCCTCCCGAACTGAGCTCTCCCTTTGCCCCACAGGTGGCTGAACAGCTGATTAACCCCTTTGGGGAAGACGATGATGACTTTGAGACCAACCTGCTCATCGACCGTAACTTCCAGGTACCACCTAGTGCCTGCCCCAGAGCATCAGGAGCACAGACCAAATCCCTGCCCCCCCCCAGCATTATGGGAGCATGAACTACAGACCCTAAGAGGGAGAGGGCAAAGGAGAGGGAACCTAGGTGTCCTGCCCCCACTACGCTGTCCTTGTTAGACCCAACTCCCCATCTAGAACTGGAGAACCCAGGCACCTGGGCTCCCAGTACCCCCTGCTGTAACCCACCTGGTCCCCTTTCTCTCCCTGCACAGGGATGGAACCCAGGTGTTCAGGCTCCCAGATGAACCTGGGAACCGAGGCATCCTGCTCCCCTACGCTATCACAATTAGACCCAACTCTCTGCCCCAGGTTGGGAAAGAACCCAGGCTCCCAGTCCCACAAGCTCCAATGCCCCTACTGTGCCTGGGAACTTAGGGATGCGGTTGTTCACTTTGCTCCCCCCACCCTAGGTGTCCATGTTAGCGGTAGATGAGATGTATGAGGACCTGCCGCTGCTGGAGCGGGACCGGTACTGGGATGCGGCTAATCCACGAGCACCATACACGGCTGCCACCGCCTTCCTGCTGCAGCAGCCACGCTTCCAGGGCTCTACCTTTGACATCACGTGAGTAGCGGAAGGGGAGGTTATATGCAGCCCATGTCCCACACCAGAGCTAGCTGCATCCCCACCCTGGCAAGGGGTCCATCATACCCAGCTGTGACATGCCCTACCACAGAGCCAGCTGCATCTCAGCTCAGGGTCCCTGTTGTACCCCACCCCAAAGCCAGCCACATCCTGGCACCAGATAATGAGCCTCTGTTATACCCAGGCCCCAGTTACCCACTCCAGAGCCAGCCATATTTCAGGACTAGATGAGGAATCACTTATACCCAGTCCTGACATAGCCCACCCCAGAGCTAGCTGCAGCCCAGTGGTTAGTTTGGGGGGAGCCTATTTATTATCACCCCAGAGCCATCTACATGCAAAAGGTTCCCATTATACTCCAATGCCCCACCCCAGAGCCAGCCACAGCCCAGGGTTGGGCAAAGGGGCTCTATTCTACCTAGACCCTAAGGCTCCAGCCCAGAGGTGGCCGCATCTCTTGCTCCCTGTACACAGCCACCAACCCACCCCATCCCAGAAGCAGCTGCCTAATGCTCCCTTTCCCTCCACCCCCTGCAGGCTGGCCAAGGAGGAGATGCAGTTCCAGCCTTTGGAGGAGATCGAGGAGGGGCTGGAGCCACGTACCCGGGGCTCCCCGTCCCCCCCACCCTGGCTCCTGGGTCCTAGCAGCTTTGCGAGTCACCTCCCCCTGCTCCCCCGGAAGAACAGCAGTGCCTCTGAGGCCTCTGGCGCCTATGGCTGCCTGTGTCCAGGAGCATCCTGCGGCTGCCAGGCCTCCAAAACGCCCCTGGGCTGGGATGAGGAAGCAGTGGCTGGCGGAGGAGCCACATCGGAGCCCTGCAGCAGCACCCAGCCCCTCCTGGACACTGTGGTGCCCCTGTCCCCTGTGAACTCCCCACAACCACCCCTACCCCACTGGCTGCAGGGCTCCCTCGAAGAAGAGAAGAGGGCATGAGCTGGCCCCAGGCTCCCTGCAATGCCCCAATGGCACCCATTACACCCAGCTGCCACTGCACCCCACCCTAGAGGCAGGTGCATCTTGGGGTCTGTTATACCCAGCAGTCGGCATGTCTCATCCCAGAGACAGCTACATCTTGGGGTCCCTGCTATTCCCAGTCACCAACCAGCTCCCATCCCAGAGGCTGCCACAGCTCTGTGCCCATTACACCCAGCCATTGGTGTGGTCTACCCGAGAGGCAGCTGCATCATGGGCTACCCATTATCCCCAGCCACCAGCATGCCTCAGCTTGGAGACAGCTGCAACTCCAGGTCCATTACCCACAGCCCCACTTCAGGGGGCATACACACAGCTGCCACATGCCCCCCAGCCCCCATTCATATTTAACCCATTCTGGGCCAGGGCTACACTGGCCACAAAAGTGCCTGGCAAGGGGCAGGGGGAGATATGGGGGGCAGAGATAGGAGCCAGCCCCTACCCACATGCTGAGGGCATCCCCTTTCTTCCCCTGCCATTTTTCTGCCTTTAAACCAAACAGACCAAGTGCAATACAGTGCATTTCTGGGGGGCAGGGGGTAGTTCTTTTGGGGGCATAAGGAGGCGATGGGAGATGGGGCAACTGCCCTCATGGGCTACACTTACCCCCCTGCGCCGCCATGAGCCATCCTGATCCCGCCATCCTGCTCCAGGGACTGCAGCTGGTGG